TGCTCTGACCCTTCTCACTGCTGTGTAGGGGCACATAGGTGTTTCAGGGCAAGGGCTAGCCATCAAGCAGCCCCTGCCCTGAAGCACTCTCATGCCCCAGCCAGCCCCATCAGCATCTACAATGTGTTGCGGTGCAGTAAATAATGCTGCCATAGTGTTTACAAGTACTAACCTACAGTGGAGTTAATTTGTTTACTGCGGCCTAATAGGGCTAATTATGTAGATGCTGAGACTTTACTGAGGAGCTAATTAGTCAGCTCCACAGTAAACATCTTGTGTACATGCACTCCGAGTTGTAAAGCTGTGCACTTCAAAATACAACACTTAAAGACTTCTGAATCGCAGGGATGTGCATACACAGCAAGCTAAAGGATGTGCACACACTCAGTTCAAGTCTGTCTGCACAGACAGACAAGGACAAAGGATGCAAGCAACCATGGACCCTCTTGCAACTGGCAAGCCATATGCCCAAATGCCCAAGGAGATGCACCCATCCAACACTAAGTCATTCACTGTTGTGAAAAGGGAAATGATGTTAAGGGCAAAGTGTGGGAGACATACAGTGTATATGTTTACATGTGAATATTGACACCTGTAGAAAACTGAAAGCAGCACCAAATCAAGCAAACATGTTCATGTTGCTCTGATAAAGAGGCAGATTTTAGTTCTGATAATGTACTGTGCCCAGTGAAAAGTGTGGCTATGGAAGGATGTCATCAGCAGCTGGTTCACCACTGCATACCAGAACCTAATGCTGCTCTTTACACCATACTCATTGTAGGTTCAAATAGTTTATTCAAATTTAGGGCCACATAGGTCACCACATGTTCATGGCTCTTTCTTCCACACACCTTCCTCATGAACAAGCCCACACAACAGAACCAAAGCCTCCCTTAATATACCCTTCTCACTTAGCTTATTGGCTGAATGGATTTGGGCACACTGCCATGCATCCAGCAGTTGGTGGGAGGGGGAGTGGGGGGACGACGGACCAAGATATGGCCCACAGGTCCAATCTGACATGTAGAGCTGTGTCATCTGGCCTACAGGGCTCCAGACAGATCCAAAAATTTCGTGGTCATTCCTGGATCCCCAGCAATTAATGCTACTCTTACCACCAAATTTTCAGCCCCACAGAGCTCCACAGGCTAGATGCTGCAGCCCCATATGCTGGATGAGGACCATGGATCAATTTTGTGTACTGAATTGGGCCCAGGGACTGGTCCTGTCTGATTTTTTCTGTTAGGTTTTAAATCTCTATTTATAAGGCCCTATTGGTGTGGCTGATCTAATATAACAGTGATTCTCAAAGCAAAGCCCTTCTCAGGGTGCCGCACAGTATCAGTAATGCGAGGTATGCAAACACCTAAACGTGATCCATAACATAAACCCAGAGATTGCAAATAAGAATACATCATATCAAAATTATTCTGAAATATAGATAGCATCTTCCCATGTAAAGTATCAACAGTTACCACAGCACTGATACTCAATGACTGGGACAGCTCATGCTGGAGAGCTACTGTTTCAGGCTTTCTGCAACCTCTAGGTGTTATCCCTGAGGTCATATTTTGAAGTTTTTCCTTTGTAGCTGAGACAGCTAAAATAATGTTGCAAAAACAAAAAACAAAAAAACAAAAACCCACACAACTGGAGACTCTGGAAAGTAGTTGAGACCTCTGCCAATGCTCCCATCCCCCATTAATCCAAAGGAATGAACCCCCTTTGAAACTCAAGCACTTCAGTATTAAGATGACGGAGACCACTACCAGAGGAATGATTGATAACTCATTTTAAAAAATAGAAGTGCAACTGAAAGGCTTAAAAGAGGTTGGGGTTTTTTTTTGCTTATTTTTAAATCAGATGCATCATTGGGCTGAATAGGAGCTGACACTATCACCAACATAAAGGAATAAGTAATCGTTTCTGACATTAATACACATTTGAGTAGACACTAGAGATTGTTACCATCTCAAACAGGCTTAGTTTTTAATGAGTTGGAAAATATTTAATTCTGCTTTAGCATTCTATCAGTAATAAAGTATATCAACAATGAAAATTTGAATTTAAATATTTTGTTCTCATTTTGCAATTTAAAAAGTTTCAAAGGGTCAAATCATACTATTCTCTTCAGACGTCTGTACCTTTCATAAGAATTTTCTTCATTAATAGTAAGCTAAGGAAAAAAATCTAGATACATACAGCATATTTATTTATTTAAAGTTAGATAGCATTAACAGATTTTCACTTACCAGTCAGCTATACATCCTGTTATTAAGTAGCCAAAGATTAATCCTACCAGCAGGGAGAATTTAGCAATGTGGACTTTCCAGGAAGAGTCACAAACAAGGTCCCACTGCAGGAAGAAGAAAGAGGTACATTGAAACATATGTGGTTCTTTGCAGATGCACTTGAACATATTGGCATGGTTGTAGATACTCTGAGCACTTGAATAGCGAACAAGTAATATTCTTAGGGACAAAACTAGCTTATATTAAAATGAATTTAAAAATTCCTATTTGCATCAGCAAGCATTTGATCAGGTCCTTAGTTCTAAATTCCAGTTACCAGCCTTTGTACCCAAGATTCTGAATTTAAACAAATATAATACACATATGGCTATCTATGCAGACATTTTAGGTGCTCCTGACCGACCTTAAAGATGCATCACTTAAAAATCACACCACAATGCGTCTAAAAATGTAAAGCAGAATCCCATAAAACCCACCCCCAGCTACCTAGACTATTTTAAAAGCTCAGATTCCCCATTTCAGTTGTCAAGTGCCTGGGGAGGGGGAGAGAGAGAGATTTTTTGTATATACTTTAAAAAACTTTATTACACAAATATTAAAAACAAGTGGTGAAAATACAAAAGTATGTGGCCCTCCCATGGGCCAACCATGAAATATCTGTCAGGGACAAAAACACCATGTTCCTAGAGACTGAAACTCCCTCTCCCATGCCCCTCATGGGTTACACTGATAGGACCAGCTGTCTGTTTTCCACCTTGCAGAGTGCCCCTTTCTATAGCTTGTCAGGGTTGCTTTCTTGGCCTGACCCAGCAGAAAATTGGCCAGGCAGATTACACTCCCCTTGGCCACTCGGTATGGGACAGAGAAGATGAGGGTGCAAAAGAGCGACTGCATGAGAGCGAGAGAGCATGTGAATGCAAAAGGGACAGAGTTTTGCAGCTGGCCCTTAGAATCGTCAGGTCCAGGTGACTGCCAATAAGTGACAACACAGTACTGTATCCTCCACCACTACAGGTACTCCTCACTTAACGTTGTCTCGGTTAATGTTGTTCTGTTATTACATCACCGATCTATTAAAGAACATACTCATTTAAAGTCGCACAATGTTCAGTTATAATGATGTTGTTTGGCCACTGCCTGCTACTAGATAATTATTTTGACATAATCAGATTCACTTAACATCATTTCGCTTAAAGTTGCATTTTTCAAGAACGTAACTACGATATTAGATGAGGAGTTGCTGTACTCCACTTTCTCTAGATTAGGTTGGACCAACTGATGGTATAAGAGGACTGCACACAAAGTCAAGTTCTTTTGATAAGCTGGAGGGACGGACAGTAGAACCACTTGCGTCAACATGATTTTGGTGCTTCCACAGTGGTATTTCCTACTGCAATCACAACTAGAAAGGGAGTTGTCCTTTACAGCAAAATCACTTCAGCTGCTGAAACTGTAGTATTCCAAATGTGGAAGTACAGTTTTTCAGGAATATCCTCACTAAAATATTACTTAATGTCCTGTAAAAAAAAGACTACACCAGGGAAACCTTTTCATTTATTTCCACACATTTTTCTAAAAGGTAGGGAAATCACATGGTTAGAACAGTAAGTGGGACCAGGGTTCAAATCTTGACACTTGGCCAGACTTCCAGTGACTTTACAAAAGTAATTTAATTCCTCCCTGCCTTCATTTGTTACCTTACAATGCCTGCAAGTAACAAGAGCAGTCATTTAAATACAGCAAAGAGCATTAGCCATTTGCCATATCCAATCGATTTCTTAAGCCAATTGATTCAATTCAATTCAATCCAATCCAATCCAATCGATTTCTTGGCTAATTTATGGGGGGAGCAGCAGGGGCTCAGCTGTTTGCACCCCATTACCTTGTTATGCAAGGTGTACACAGCTGTTGGCATCTCATGTGTTGTCCAAAAGAGCCTCTCCTCTAATAGCAGCCTTGAAATTGACAGGACCTAGTTAGTTTCATGGCTTC